TCAGATTGGGGGTATCACAGGATTCATTTTTTTAAGACTGAGATTAAATTTTTGTTTATGGGCAAATGATGACGAGTGTAAGTGTGAACCACCAGGTGGTATTCGTGTAGTTAGTTGACGGGGGGTAAAGGGGGATAAATGTTTCTAATGGAGTTTTGAAAAATGAATGTGTCTGCAGTTCTAGAGTTTCCGGTAGGGTATTTCCCGATTTTTGGCCTTTACAACATTGAATTTTTTTAAAGGTTTAGTCGGACCGGGGAATGTCGGAGATGTTTGGTCTGGTGTTTGCCTGTGGGTTTTGTCACAAATTCAAGAAAGCGTTTTAGGTCGGTTGATATTTGAGTTTTTAACCCTGTAGTTAGATTGCACAGTATAAATTGGATGTACTGAAATGGGGGGTAAGTTTAATCTTTGAAATTTGGGGGGGGTGTGCTGCCAGGGGTGGGATTTATGATTTTTTTACTGCAGCTTTTTGTTGGGGTTATTTTGGGGTTTTGGTGTTTTGCGCAGTTGATCCCCAAGCACAAATAGCATAGGTGAGGGATGGATAAATAAGTGATGGATAGTTGAGAAGGCATTTTTTCGGCACGTAGTATCGTATTTGGAGAGGTCCCAACCTTTTGGTACTTTTTTTTGGTATAGCGGGTAGGGTTTCTGAAATTCAGGTTGTTTCAAGGTATAAAAACCCAGGAATTTTCCCCCTTATTTCTGGTAATTAGAGTTGCAATCTTTAAAGTTAAATTTGGCTCTCCCGCTGCTACCAAACATAATATAGTAAGTTTTGTCAGTGAACGTAAATTTATTGGGGTGTCATCCAAGTCGATTTTAACAGCTCCTCATTCACAATGGGTTTTAGGGGGCAAGATTTGGGTAGAAGACAAAAATCGTGTCATCACAAAAAGAATGGGTTTTGGTTTGGGATACGTTTGGAAGGTCATTGATGTATATGAGGAAGAGCAGGGGACCAAGGACATTCCCTGCGGAACTCCCGATCAAGTGGGGGTGTTGCTGATGCGGGGCTTTAAGGGGACGTACTGATACCCATTAGTAATGTAAGATTTGAAATAAGGGAAGGCATGGCCTCTTAACCGATGGCAAGTTTGTGGAGTAGGATTTTGGGGGTTTTTCTGTGTCAAAAGCTTTTTTAGGTCAATAAAAAATTCCTAGCGGGGTTTTCGCATCACTACCCCTTGGTGATTTCTGCCGAGAGTCCAGTTCCCCCAGGGTGAATGGCGATCTGTCCCATGACTTTCTTTAAGGTGGTATACATTTCCTTGTTGAGAGGATCAAAATTTGGTTTCTCCCCTCAAGTGAACCATATCGAACTTAGGTTGTGTCGGTTCCAGGTATGAAACACCCCATATGGGTTCTGTGGTCCCCGAAGACTTTACCTTGAATTTGCCAGGTCGGTTGAGCTGGTTTGCCTGCTCCTTGGACGGATGGCGCTTCTTCTTGTTGTCCACAGTGTTCCATCCCTCTTGGTTTTCGGGGGGTGGGGTGTTTATTTCCGCACCTGTTTCTATTGTCGCTGGCTCCATGGTTGGGACTGTCAGTTCTGCTACAATGTGAGCAGGATCTTCCTCTTCCTCTCGCAACTTCTTCGCTAGAATTTCGCCCCACATTTCCAAATCTGAGTCCTCCGTCGTGTTCATGGAGCATCGTGACCTCTTCTTTTCGGCAGAAGCCATGTGCCTATCTTGTGATAAGGTAGTGAACTCCGTGAACTGAGTGTGTGTCAATGGATTGTCGTAATACGATTGTCTCAACACTGAACGTTACCGTTCTAACATACAGAGGTAGAAAGACATTATATATATAGGCGGAGAGTGAGATGTGACGCACGTGACCTGAGGAATGTCATAAGAACATAAGAATGGAGGAACACTGTAGAAGGCCTACTGGCTCATGCGAGGCCCCGCAGGAAGATGCTGATATAGGCCATAATATCCTGCTATCAAAAGGTTCTAACCTTCTTGTTACCTCTGTCCATATCACACTGTGTAAAAAACTCTATGCAACTAAAGGGCCCTAAAATATGGAATTCATTACCAAAAAGATATTAAAGTAACCCAGTCTGAAAATCAGTTTAAGACTCTTCTCCAAAAACAACTTAATCACCCTAGACTCAGCGCTAAATACTCAGTACACATTTACTCACCTATGTACTCCACATAAATAACTTCAACAATCACTTTGAACATTTTATCCATTGTTAACAGGAATATAATTGAACCATTGTTTTCACAAAAAGCATTTTAGACTATATGTTTATATCCTTTGTCTTATAAAAATTTTAATTCACTTATAACACTTTAAAAATCCATTGAATCCTCCACCTTCCCTACAGTTCTCAAAATAGCAAGGGTCACCCCGATCCATAAAGGAGGAACCAAACGGGTTTGAATAACTAAAAGCCAATATCCAATTTAAAACCCTCTCTCAAAAATCTTCGAAAAATTAATTCATAAACGAATCCACTCCTACCTCATCTCCCATAACATTCTCAACCCCTGCCAATTTGGATTCAGGCCTAATAAAAAATACTAATGATGAAATTATACACATGCTAGAACATATATACACTGAAATTAGAGAAAAAAAAGGTCCACTGGGGATCTTCATTGACTTACGTAAAGCTTTTGATACAGTTGACCATGACTTGTCACGAAAAATTGTTACACTATGGTATTAGAGGCCACTCCTCAACTACCTCAAGTCTTACCTCGGAAACCCAGAAGCCAATATGTGTACGCAAGTGGGGCAAGCTCTTCCGCACAACCAATTACAGTTGGTGTCCCACAGGGAAGTGCCCTTGGCCCTCTTCTCTTTCTCCTATACTAAATGACCTACCAAATGCTTCGCAATTACTCAAACCCCCACTTTTTGCAGATGACACCACATACGTCTTCTTCACCCGAGCCCAGTCACGCTAGCCAATACTGTAAATACCGAAATTTACAGAAAATATCTACCTGGATGAGGACTAACAAACTTACACTAAACATTGACAAAACCTACTTCATTCAGTTTGGTACAGAGCTACAGATGTACCTCTTAACATAACGATAAACGGAAACACCTTTTCCAAAGCAAAACAGAGGGAAAAATTCTTAGGATCCACCTCGATAATAGACTCAAATTTCATGCACATATACAACAAATTTCTAAGAAATTTCCAAGATATAGGCAAACTATCGAAGATACGGTACTATGCTCCAAAAGTCAGCCCTCCTGGCCCTTTATCACTCTCTTATTTACCCTTCTCACCTATGGAATTTGTGCATGGGGCTCAACAACAACTAACCATCTCAGCCACTAATTACCCAACAAAAAGGCTGTAGTTAGAATGATAACAAATTCTCACTACAGGCAGCACACTCCACCAATATTCAAAACACTCAACCTACTCACCATACAAAACACCATACTTATTATTGCCCCTATTACATACATAGAACACTTAACTCTGATATTAACCCTCCCTCAAACATCTCCTTGCCAACCTCAACAGAACACATGACCATAAACACAAGCACAGATCACTCTTTGATGTTCCCTGGGCCATCTACGCTATGCCAAAAAACCAAAAGCAATTAAAGGGCCCTAAAATCTGGGAAATTTATTACCTGTAAATATAAAAAAACACTACCTGTTTATAAATTCAAGTCTCTTCTCAAAGTTCACTTACTCACCAAACAATATAAATAAGAAAAAAAACTAACATTAAATTGTAAAATCCTAATGTACTCACAATTTATCACACAAAAAGTTAAACTAACTTTGTTATTTTTTAAATACACTACTAACAGAATCTCCATTCCCACGAATGAACAGCAATTGCATCAACCCTATGACCTCTTTGTAAACTCCATTTGTTTTTTATAGTTATCTGTTTACAATAATGTCTATCACGATTTCATCATTGGGTTAGTTAATCTTAAGTATTTTAAGCCAGCCCGTTAAAGCTATGCATATAAGTGGCTTTGCATCGCTCTTACCTGTATTTTTGTACCTCTGTTTGTATGCTAAATTTCAAAAATAAATAAATAAATAATTAAAATCTAAACTTACAACTATGAAATAAATTATTCCTACGTACAAAATGATTATAAACCTTAGTTTAATAGCTGTAAGCCAATATGTTAAGTTGCCTATAATTCCAAGGCATAATAGAGTTCTCTTGCAATTGCATCCCACTAAATTTTAAATATAAATCTCATGTACTGTTTTCAAAGAAAATAAATAAATAATAAATAAATAGCGTTTTCTTGGGCAGCGATAGTTTAAGGCTTTAACATATGATGGCCCTGCCTTTGGGGGTTTTGGGGGG